TGCGGTGGCCGGGAGCGGCCACTGCACTCCAGTCTGGGCAACAGAGGGAGACTCCAACTCGAAAAAAAAGCAAAAAACCAACCAAACAAACAAAAACAAATGCAGGTCTTCCCGATCCCAACCAAAGCTGACATTGTCATCCTCTGTACTATATAGTTTTGTTACCACATCATTCAAAATATCCTCTGACAGTACTGTAACAATGACAATGGCCTGTCAACATTTTTTTTTTTTTTTTGAGTTGGAGTCTCACTCTGTCGCCCAGACTGGAGTGCAGTGGCCGCTTCCGGCCCCCGCAGCCTCGACCCGCCGGGCTCCGGCGATCCTTCCGCCTCAGTCTTCCGAGTAGCTGGAACGACAGGCATGCGCCATCATACCCGGCTAATGTTTTGATTTATCGTAGAGATGAGGGCTCGCCAAGTTGCCCCTGCTGGTCTCGAACCCGTGAGCTCAGGCAATCCTCTCACCCTGGCCTCCCAAAGTGCTGGGATTACAGGCGTGAGCCACCGCGCCCAGCTGGTCTGTCTACTTTCGAAGATATTTTTAGGGTCACCAGTTCGAAATCTTTCTCCTGCCCTGATTTCAATGACATTTATCCCCATTAAGCATTAGCATCCCAGCTCCATGAATCCTGTATGTTTGCAATCTGTCAGGTCGGCTCAGAATCCAGGATAAGGTCGTGGATTCTCCTTGCAGCCCCATTCCTGAGCCCATTCCACAGAATCTTTCTTCCACATCAGGTGATGCTTGTGCAGTTTAAAAAATCCTACCTCTTCGGTCAGCTGCATTAACTTATCAAGCCAGTCCTCAATTTCCAACAACGTGGACTTCACATCCGTGGCTTCAGACCTCATCCTCACAGCCGCCTCGTGTATCTGGGAGAGCCCTCGAGACCGCAACTTTCGGATCTGAGTATCAAGAATTGTGACATTGGGTTTCCCTTCCGTGAGAGGCAATGTGTATCTGAAAGAAAAAGAAAGAAAAGAAAAAGAGACAGTAAGTTTCAGAATTGTCAGGTTCATTTACATTTGGTTTCCATCGTGAAAATCACATCCATCTTCTCTCTGGTTCCACATTGCCTGGGTTAAGCTGGAACTGAGTGTAACTGGCATTGCCAGAGCAGACATGCTAGTCTCTAAGCATTCATGAGGAATACAGGGAGATTAAAATCCCAAAGCAATGCTTCTGAGTTCAACATGGGGTCCATGGAGTCACTGGAGGATGATGGAAACATCAGCACCTGGAAAATGGGCTTTTTCTCTCTCTGCTTCCTAGAATCATTGTACAAACCCACAGTGATGAAAGGAGAAGGGAGGTTAGAGATCATTTGGCCTAAGATTTAATTTAGGGCCAGGTGCAGTGGCTCATGCCTGTAATCCCAGCGCTTTGGGAAGTAGAGGCAAGAGGATTGCCTGAGCCCATGGGTTCGAGACCCACCCGGGCAACTTGGTGAGACCGCATCTCTACAATAAAAAAAAAAAAAAAAAAA